GTGTGTGTAATAGTAACAGGCTTAACCTGAAAACTCAGCTTGTTCTGGTTGGTTTATTTGGTCAGTGACTCTTTCTAAAATCAACTTTTTTTTTTTTACCATCAAGATTGGCTTACTCGGTGCATAGATCCTCTACAAGTGAACAAGTCTACAGATCTGGGCATTGGTTATTCCATCTTCCCTTTTTTGATAATAGGAAGATCCTAGGCAACATCAAACTGAAGGAGCAGCATTGCTTTTTTTATTTTACCTTGCTGACTAAAGAAAGTTATGGTTGTCCTGCATGGTTAAGTTGTCATTTGATCTCCCAGTGCCTCCACCTGAATGAGAAGAGCTGCCATTGCCAAGGCTGATTCCTCCTCTCTGACCAAGGAGGTTCAGAAAGAAATAGCTGGTATACTGATGATTAACACACTCAAACACCCTCCCAAACATCTATAAACAGCACTTATTCCAAAATCCAATCTGTTTCACTTGCTTTAATGTGGTAATTTATTTTTTAGTTTGCCCAGAAGGGTCTGAACATAAGTGTAAAATAGTGCCCAAACCAAGTTTTTCTACCATCTCAGCATGTGTAAGAAAACCTGACTCGCAGATTCCAGAAGGTGACAACCCAGATTGCATGTTAAAAAGATAATCTGTCACAAACCTGAGACCTTCGTCTCATCTTTTTATCACCACAGCCCTTCCTGGATGGAGGGAGAACAGTCTTCATACTTTCCGTGCGCTAAATATCTGTCTGGTAGCTGTTATCTTCAGAAAGGCGATATTTCAAACTTCAGAGACTAATATTGTATTTCTGACATACTGTATTAATCCAGTCCAGTAATCCTCATAATCAACACAACTTTTCTCTTTGAAGTAATACCACTTTGTATATGAGATGCATTCTCCCTTGTTTCCTTCCATCAAACATTAGAGTTCAGTTGTTAGGAACACTGACAATCTCATAGGTTAGGAGATGCCAAAAGGATCGGAGCAACCATGGCTGTAGCATTTCTGCAGTCGTTGAAGCTCAGAACGTTCCATTTTTATGAGCCAACATGTGGTGTACTGAAGCTGGTTTTTAGGCATTTTGTTCTAACTACTAAACAAGTCCTTTCATTATTAGAAAAGTACTGTTTTTCATACTGTAATGGGAAATGTGCTCTGTTGATGGACTTTCTATTTCTGATTTTCTCAGAGCTGAAAAAGAATGGGGGGATGGAATCAGGGGGTTGTCCTTGAATGCAGCTCGCTATGCTTTGCTTCGGGTTGAAGCAGGACATCCACACACCAAGAACTGGAGGTAAGAGCCCCAGGAGTCTTATTTTTAATGCAAATCACTTTAGAAATAGGAATGCTATTGATTACCAAAATCTAGTCAAGGTTTCACCAACCCTAGAATTAGAGTAGAATTTACTAGAGTGGAATTTATTATTATTTTTTCCAGAACAAATACACTAATAGCCAAAGTTGACTGAAACTGGAATGGCGTTTTGCACATTGCAGTGACTTCTGGTGTGTTTTATCAGTTTTATTGTCGTAACATGTTAACAGGATTCAACTGTATCAGTGGTCCCCCAACTTCCTAAAATTGCAGAATCCTTTCATATCACTTCTGATATGGAAGCCCTACCGCTGTCCTGTGAACTGGCACATCGCCAGGCAACTTGGCCCAGCAGTGCAAATACTCTGCCTCCTGGCCTGCTCTGCCATTACCCCCAGTCTCTTTGCAGAACTTCTGCTGTCCTGCAGAACCCTAGAGTTCTACAGATTCAGCTTGAAAACCACTAGAATCACTCAAGACGTAAATAAATTAGGGCTGTCGATTTTTAATAACAGTTAATGTGCACAATTAACACGTTAATCAGTTCTTGCATTAATTTTTTTAATTGCAGTTAATTGCGCACATAGTTTTGGAGCCTGCATCTAGGCTCTGCTCCATTTGTCTCTGGGCCACCCAGTAGGGAAGTGGTGGCAGCACAGAGGACCGCAGGGCAGTCTGGGCTCAGGTTCCAGGCAGCTCTAGTAGGAAGGTGGGGGGCTTGTGCACAGACACACACATACACAAGCAGTCACAACCTGCATGCTGCATGTAGAGCAGTGCTGCACCAGGAAGTCTGTGGAGGGGGAGCGGTGAGAGGAAAGGAGTGTAGAGGGGCAGATTGAACCCCCCACAGTGAGGGAAAGAGTGGACAGGGGCATAGATGGGGTGAATGGGGCCCTGGGGCTGGGGCAGGTCATGGGGCAGAGCTGTGGGACCCTCGTCCAGGGGCACGGGGGTGGGAGGTGGCTCCCTGCCACTGCACACACCCCCTGGGGGAGGCATGGGGGGGCATGTGCTCCCTGCCTCCCCCCAATTTTGTGTGTGGGGCAGAGGCAGGCTGCCTGCTACAGGCTGGGGCTCAGCACCCTGCTGCCTGTGCCCTGCGAGCCACGTGCTGGCCATGCTGTGTCCTCCCCCATCCCCACCTGCCTGGCCACAGGAGGCACAACATGCCGCTTGGCCACCATGGCTTCTGGAGTAAAGGCAACAGGGTCCAGAGCTCCAGCCTGCAGCAGGCAGCCTGCTTCTACCTCATGTACAAATTGGGGCTGCACATGCCCCCCATGCCTCCCCTGGGGGTGCACATCCCTTCCCACCCACGCTCCTGGACAAGTCTCCTGTGGCTGTCCCACATCCTGCCCTGTCTCCAGGGCCCCATTCACCCCAGCCCTGTCCCTGACCTTGCCCCACTCCCTCCCTTACTGTGGGGGCCTTGATCTGCCCATCCCCCTCCACTGACTTACCTTCTGGGTGCTGTGTGTTTGCCCCTCACACCTAAGCTACAGCCCCCCAGCCCTGCTGCTGCCTCTTAATCCTGACCCACAGTACCCCACATGCGGGGCCCCTACTTCCTTGGGCTCCAAACCCACAGCCCCCCACACCTTCACAAATCCCCTGCCACACACACACCCTACACTCGCCCCCTCCCCCATCCATACAAAGGTTTTGCATGATTTTATGTATCTTTGAATTATTTTTTAGTGCATAATTTTGAGTTTTTAGCTGTGTGATTTTAAAATCATGATTAAAAAAATTAGTTGCAATTAATCATGCAACTAATCGCAATCATGTTTTTTTTTAATAGTTTGACAGCTTGTGTTGGGGCTGGGGAGGCAGCAGCTGTTTGTAACCTCCCGGCTGCAGCTGGCCCCAGCTCTGGGTAGCTGCTGCCAGCTGGGAGCCTGGGCTGCTCCCAGCAGGCAGCTGGGATGCTGCAAGCCCTACTGGGAGCAGCTCGGGCTCCATGGCTATCAGCATCTAACCAGAACCTGGGCCAGCTGCGAACATCTGCTGCCTCTCCGCCCCAGACCCGGACCTGGGCTCTGGGGAGGCAGCACATACCGGCAGTGCTCCCCACTGTGCTGGTCTTGCCGTTTCTGCAAAGCAGTGTTGGAACCCGGCACAGTGGAGCGTGCAGAAAGCTGCCTGCCGCTCTGAGCTCCCTGATGCCCTGTCACTTCCCCTGTGTGCATGGGAGCAGCATGGGCAGCAGCACAGGGTTGTGCCCCTCGCTTTTGCCCCTGCCTGCAGGGGAAGTGTGGCAGAGAAGCAGGGAGCTGGGAGCAGGCAGCTTTCTGCCCCCCCACCCTCCCCTTGCTGTGCCCTGCTGTGCCAGGTTCCAACACTGCTTTGCAGAAGTGATGAGGGCAGCACAGCGGGAAGCATTGCCGGTATGTAGCGCCTCCCTGGGTCCAGGTCTGGGGCTGGAAGGCAGCTGGGGCCAGAGCCTGGGTGGAGAGGCGGCAGATGTTTGCAGCTGGTTCAGGTTCTGGGTAGCTGCTGACAGCCACGGAGCCCGGGCTGGGGGGCAGGGGCTTTGAGTGGGGGGCAAGGGTCATGAGCAGGGTTGCACTATGAAGGGGAGCAGCCAAGATGGTGGCTGCTCCCTCCTCTTTACTGCTGATTAGCTGAGAGAGAGACCTTCTGTGTGGCCCCTCCCTTCTCCACCAATCAGCAGGGAAGGGTGAGGCTTCTAGGGCCCCTCCTCCTCCAATCAGTGTGGGGCTAAGGGGAGATGTGTGGGGGGCTCACCACAAAAATGATGCCAAGTGCTGTGAGCAGGCCATGATTTTTTTTTACTTCACTTCTGCATGCATTAAGTAGACTCCCAAGCACATGAATGTTTTCATGGTAATTTTTGTCTTTATGCTAATTTTCTGGTTCTTTTCCTGATGCTTTTTTATACTGCAGGCCTCAAGTCTTAGTTTTGTTGAATTTGGATTCAGAACAGCTGGTTAAGCACCCTAGATTGCTTTCTTTCACCTCTCAGCTGAAGGCTGGTAAAGGATTGACCATTGTAGGATCTGTCCTTCAAGGAATATACTTGGATAAATGTGTAGAAGTTCAAAAAGCTGAAGAGGTATGTAAAAGACGGTTTGCAATGCCAACACTGTTTTGGGGCTCCTAGTCCATATAGGCCCCTCTCTATGTATTACATTTAACTTCTTGTTATTAACCAGGTAATCACACCTTGCACTGCAACCCAGATACACATTTAACCAATTAATGGCTGGGAGCCCAATCCATCAACTGAGGGACCCCCAGCCACAGGGGTGCACCACTCACTGCCAGCCCCACAGCTGATAAGGATCACAATGGTTGCATCTGTTGTCAGCTGTGAAGCTTGCAGCAGGGAGAATCGTCCCCCTGCCCTGCAAGCCTCTTCAGCTGCAGGACCTGCAGCTCATGAGGGTCACAGCAAGGACAGCGTTCTCCCCGCTGCCTCCACTATGAGTCCTTCAGCCCACATTGTGATCCCAGGTTCCCCCTGCACCATTAATAAGGTGCAGTGGGATCTAATGCACAATCCCACAGTCACACCTCCTGCCATGCACATGGGATACACATCTAAGCACAAACAGTAATAAAGGATATTTATATAGTAGGGCATTTCATGAAACGTGCCAAGTTTTAAGTTAAATTCTTTAATTAAAAACAACCCTTCCCCCCACAACACTTTCAGAAGGCTACAGAAGCTTATAGTCTTTGAAGATCCAACAATACCTAGTACTTCTGAATTTTTGTCTGCTACAGTGTTGCAAAGGTTGTGTGTATTCTATAAACTGGATGGCCTCCTGGGCTGCATCCACACAATTATGAATGTTTCCCCGGGCACAAGTAGCAGTGGCACACATACCCTCTGCAGGTTACCCTGGCCATGGTAGGGGGGAGCCTTACCTGGCATCCTCAGGGAGCTGCAGCCATGGCATTCCTGCATCTGGGAACCTGGCCAGCAGCAAGAGCATGGCTCTGGCTGGCCAGACTGTTTTGGGGCAGTGTGCCTGAGCATTTTTAGCATGAATATTTAACCCTGGGAGACCCCAGGGTCAAAAACCCCCCAGACTGCAAGGTAGCAGTATAGGGAACTCCTGTACATGTGGTTTGTGGTGCCGCAGACGGGTCTGTGGCACTACAGACTGCATGTCTGTACTTGTCTGGATGCGGCCCTGGAGTCCACTCCAGCCCTACATACTTATGAACTTTGATTCTCTGCTTGGCTTAAGTTTCTTGATAATACTTTATTTATTACTCAGTTAGAGCCCTAATTTCAGATCTATGTTAACATATTGGTAATCTAACCTTAGTTATGAGGTTTGCGTTTGCCAGATACCCATAGAAAAAGCACTCTTGGGACCAGATTCTTTTCCACCAATTGGCCATGTAAGTGGGCTTAAACATACAAGCATGGTGTTATTCTACCTTGCCAAAGCTTCTGAAAAACTGTTAAAGCAAAAGATGGGTGGGTCTTCCTCCTCAAATTGTGGGATTGCACTAGTTGAGTGCAGTTAAACTAAGGCGGTCTTGTTGCCTTAAAAGCATCACATTTTGCATGTAAAGGCATCATGTATGTAACTAAACAAGAGAGGTGGCCAAATAAGGAACTGCAAAGTATGATTCGGGGTGTGGCTGAGTCAGAGGAGCAATTGTGCATTACCTTCTGGAGACTGTCAGAAATGCTGTGGTTTGGCCTGGGTCAAGTAAGAACCAGTCATGGTTAATCTGCTAAGTGAATCCTCCTCTGTCCTGGGCATACTTTCAGCTGATCAAGTAGGACTAGGTCCTGGACTACTTAAGCCAACAAAATGATGCTAAGCAACAGAATGAAAGAGACCTGTCCTTTCAAAGCAAGATTTGAGAGAGGTAGTTAACCATGTTAGTGTGAAGTCAGGCAGAAGGCAGGGTAGATCTGCACCTTTTATAGACTAACTGGATTGGAGACATACAGCACAAGCTTTCCTAAGTAGAGGGCTTACTTCATTGGATTTAACATTCAGTAAGCGGTAGATTGCCTCTCTAACTCTGGTCTCAAACAAAGCACCACAAAAAAGCTAAGTGCTGCTTGATTGTTGGTGACTTATGTGTATCACATGTAGTGGTGTTTTGCAGTTGTTCTTGTTAATAATACTCATATGTCCCTAGTGAGAATTAGCTGTTAATTCTGTACTGATTAAAGTAGTCTAGGAAGTTGTAATATACTGCAAAGGTATCAAGTTACTTCTAATGAGCACTGCAGTCTGGATATCTGTATATGGTATCCTAGCATTAGACTTCAGGAGAGATTGGCACCTCCCTGCAGCTAAGTACAAGTTCATCCGGCATTCTTCCTGTTCCTCTGTAGCTGTACTGAATGATTAACTCATGTCTCACTTGAAAGGAATAAATTGAATTTCCAAGCAAGTGATCATTAGTCATTGAACTTCACTGCAGGTGAGCCTCTGGTGGTTTTTTATTCTTTGATTTATCTGTTTTTTTCCTTAACCATTGTTATGGTTTTATAATTGAAACTGAGTTTTCATAAAAAAAGTCTAAAGAACTTACTTCAAAATCAGTATAACACATCGCTAATTTGATTTTTCTTTTTTCTTTCCTTTTGGTTTTCTTTTAACTGAAGCAACACTAGGAACCTAAAATACAAGTCCAGAATAACCTCACAGAGAGAAATATAATTATCAATTATAAGTACCCTGGTAATCCATAAATCTCATTCGGTGGAGCTTTTCATGCAAAACAACAAATACGTATTTAAAAAGTCTGTTTGAAAACTACATAAAACTGAATAGATCTCTCAAGCTAAGAATAATTGTAGCTTTTAAATTTAATTTAATCCATTCAATTTAATGAGTTTTTTTTATTTTTCAGTTTTGAAACATTACTGGGATCTAGTGCTCTGTTATCCTTGTCCAATGTTTCTCAGCCTGGTGAGGTAGTATCTCTAAAGAGGACCCAAGGCTGAGGAAAGGAAACTTTCATTTTGGAGCTGTTCATCTTCCACAAATTGGCTCCTGTTGCGATTTTGCAGTGTGGTGGCTTACTCCCCAGCTGTTGATGGCCATGAACAGGTGTTCAGCTCTACCCAAGTGAGGGGAACATGCAGACATTTCAGATTTTCCTACCCCCACCCCAACTGCTCCTGACACCTGTCCCAGGCTAGGTCACCCCAGTCTGGGGAAGGCTGAGAGCAGCAGCAGCTTGACTCTTCCCATGCACCAGGGTCACTGTGGTCTGGGGAAGACTGCTGCTCAATGACTGCTTCTGATCATAATGTAGTCAAGTGTACAGGTGTTTATTCTAGTGAGAGAGTGTCTCATAAGAGGGATCTTCCAGGTGTTGTGGTGGAAGACTTCTGACAGTTGAGACATGTTTCCTTCTGTAAGAAACAGACTGCCTGTATGCTGGCAATTTCTACTAGGAGACCAGTGATTCTCCCAGTAGAAATTTAACCCATATACATGGTTGCGGTTTGGTCCTTCCCTTTACCATGACCCCTAGCATAAGTGGAGCCATATACTTTGTGTGGTTAGGTTTCTTACCCTCCTGAAAAGAGGAGGGTTTGTGAAGTAACCTGGGTATACAGAGCCACAGCAAATGGGCTGTGCAGAATCACTTATTTCAAAAGCCTCTACTTCTCTGCTCAGCTGTGCAGAGCTGCTCCTGAATTCCAGCCGAGTGGAGAAAGGGTCTGGTTCAAAATGAAAGCTGTGGCAAACACCTGGGCAGACTTGTCCTTAATTTAATATATGAATCATTCAGGTTCTGCTGTGCAGCCAGGCATTATGTTACTTAACTGGGACCCTGCCACAGGCCAAGGCAATATCCTGCTGGTATTTTCAGTTTTCAGTTTGTCTGTTGCACTCAGTTTTGTTGCTTGTGTGCTGGTCAGTCCATTAGAGCACCAAGGATGACTGCTGTGTGTAGCCTGGCCCTGGGAGAAATGGAAAGGAAATCAGGGGCCATTGGGAGTGTGCAGAAGAATTGGATCTAAATGCGTTTCCTCAAATGATTTAAATGTATTGACGCGAGACAAAACAACTGAGAACAGGTTATGGAAAGACTTGGGCAACTAAGTCAGGGCAGATGAGACATCAGGTGCTAGTTAATTATAAAGTTTATACTTAATGACATTCAAAGGCTGGGAACCCCTGACAGGGTTCAAATATACTTCTGTGTGTATTTTTATACTTTGAAAATACACTGGCTTGAGTCCCCACACAACCTAAATATTTACCCTAGGGCCCCAATCTGGCAATACTTCCTCTCTCAAGCACCAAATCAGTGTCCAGAACAAAACTGTATTAATAGGAAAGCAGGGATCACAGCATTAGTTTGGGGAAAATGCAACAAAATAAGCAGTCAACCATATCTTTGTACAAATAGTATATAAAACACTTTCCTTGACCGTATCTTTGCATCTAGTTTTTCACTTTGGCTTTATCACCAACTGGTGCATATATCCATTGAACAAACATCCCTTTGATATGCCCTTTCCCCTGCTCTCACTGCTGTTTCCACTTGTGGCTTGCTGTTAGGGATTTGCTAATTCCCAGTATGTGGGGTTTGGAGGAGTAGACTGCTATTTCCAGCTGCTGGAGGAAGTGTTGCATGGTGCAGTCATGAAATGCAGTGCCATTTCTTGCCAATTCAGCATATTTTTCAGCATACCACTGCCCTTGATCCTGACCAGTTTAGTCATAAGGCACCACTACCTATTCCACCTCTAGGCAGATAAGACTTTTTGGGTAAATGCGATATATTTCATTAGACCAACTTAAATAGTTGAAAAATTGTTCTTCCCAAGCTTTTGGATACAAACACCCATCTTCAGGCAGAAGGAGAGTTTATAGTTGTTTTGTGTTCTCTTGGGTGGGATAGAAACCATTATGTAAAAATGCAGGTGTGTGAAAATGGAAGTGCATAGCGGTGAGGATAGACAATAGGTGTGAGATTTTTTTTCAGGGGAGGGCGGGGGTGACCTGGTGATTGAATATAGCTGGTGAAATGTAGAGCGGTTACCTGGGGTATCAGATTGTAGGCAGGTTATAATGTGCCATAAATCCACTGTCATCTTAGTCCATGGCTTTCTATATCCAGTAGACTGATGAAGTGAAATTCATAGGCTTATCTGAGAAAGGTGCTTTGTAAATTCCCTTTTGAGAATTACACCTGAAAGATTGGGGAGAGAGTGGTTATCTTGTGAGAAATGTGCACCCACAGGTAATTGGGTATTTGTACCAAAAACCTTGCAAAGAATAATTCTTCCAGCAATTTAGTTGGTCTAATAAAAGATGTAACACTGACTCTAAGAACCTTATCTGCCTATGTCTTTAGATCAACTTGGCTATTCCACCTCTAGCTGGTATCTATGAAGAGTCATGTTTAGCAGGTGTTACAACTTTTAAATGCAGTTTGGAAAGAATTCTTAGATTTCGTTAATTAAAATATTAGTCCTTTACCTACTTTCCATTTTTCTGACACTGTCCCTCCCTCTTTCTTCCTCTTTTTTTTTCTGTCTTTTCCCATTTTATTATTTATTGTGACAGAAATCTGCAATTCCATATATAGTTGATTTTACATATTATATAAAAACTTAATTTGTTCTGATTTTTTTTTTAATTGCGTTTAAAAAAAAAAAATCATGTAGAGAAAGAAGTAATGGTATAATACTTTCATTCTCCTAGAGAAATCCCATGGGCGGTGGGACAAGTACAGCTATTGTGGATTCTTTCAGAAAGATCAGACTAGAGGCATCCAGTGTAAGCTCCTTGCCACCGAGTCTGCAGATGGCAGGAAAGTCAACAGAATGGGCAGCATGAAAACCTGCTGACAGACCCAAAAATAGCCAGCTAACATGTGCTCTCCATATCAGTGTAGTGTTCTGTTCCTTCCCTGGAACCATTCATTTTGTTGTGGTTTCTCAGTGACCTTTTTCTCGGGAGGTCAGACCCTGGTTAAAAGGTTGTCAAACTGTCAATGTTCAAGATGTTTCTTGAGCACTTGACTTCAGACACTTTCTTCAAAGGTGCTTATCCCCTTCCACCCCATTTAAAGCAGCTAGGGATCCAGTACCGCTCCACACACCTTCATGAGTCAACAAGGTTACACTAATAATGGCCAGTAAAAATAGTGCAAAACATTCCCAATGGTTATGTCCAGTGATGCTCTGGGTCTTTTTTTACCAGGTATAGACACTAAGACATGGTTGTCCTTAACTATAAGCAAGTGAATTAAATCCTAACAATTACAATTCTAAGTCAAGAGCAAAACAACTTTAGCAGTTACTAGTTGGTCAAAAGCAATACAACATGCTCACCACCCTCAGATATTATGAACACGATGCTACTGGTTGATCAGGCCAGGAGGGCTTGTCTGGGGCTCCCAGCTCCTACATCTGAGTTCTGTGCAAGGTAGAAACTTGGATGGATACCTGCATCTCTTCTGGTCTTCAGAGGTGTTCCAAGGTGGGGTTCCAATTCCTTTTCCTACATACCTTCTCATTACTATGTTTTGTAGCATATAATTAGCTTAAGCCATTCCCTCTAATGCATATTAATAAGCCTGCTTCCACTTGCCATATATGATTAAAGTTCACTGGAATTTTCCAGTCTTGGGTAATCTTTTTCATTCTTAGGTGGGAGTAAGTCTTGCTGCTGATTTGTTCCTCTGTTTCCAAGCGAAAATTTTCTTCTTTTAGTTGGCCAATTTCTTGTTTTGATTTTGGCCACCTAGACAGGGTATTTCCAGACTTCTTCCTCTTTGCAGGGAACAGGTCACGGTCAAGTACACATAATGTACCAGGTCTTGTTGATGAGTTTGCAGCTGTCTAGTGCCAAAGTCAAATCTGCAGCTGAGCGGACTCATGATCATTTTCTTATGCTAAGTGCCAGAGTTAAAACCCAGGCCAGAATGCCACTGGGTTCCAACACCGTATATCTCTGAATTAGGCAGAGTTCTCAAACACTGTGCTACTTCTCCTCTATTCATAGCGGGGATTAAGGACTCTGATTTTTAAGCACAACATGATTTAATTTTTTTTAATGCATATCACAGTGCCTTTTTTGTTTATTGGGTTGCAGGGTTAAGGAACTGTTCCTGGATGTCAGACAATTTACAGTGTATCATATTAGTTCTTAATACAGTGATTCCCTGTTTTATTCATAATTAAAGGTATCTCCATGTGTAATCCTCCCTTTCTTATTTTTATAGAATGTTAAATCCTTAATGGCAATAGAAAAAACAAAGGGATTCTGCCAGATTGTGGTGTCTCCAAATTTGAGAGATGGAGTCTCCCATTTAATTCAGTCTGCTGGTCTCGGAGGGATGAAGCATAATACAGTCCTGATGGCATGGCCGCAGTCATGGAAGCTCACAGATAATCCATTTTCATGGAAAAACTTTGTTGGTACATACTGCTTTAGTTTTCTGTAATTTTACTAAAATTAGCCATGCATGCAAAAGGCAAGGATATTTTGGGAGATACCTTTTATCAAACCAACATCATTGGGAAAGATTTTTAGATGATCTTTTGAGCATAAGGTATTCTTCCTCAGGTCTGGGGGGGGGGAAAAAGCAGGTGCAGCTTGAGCTAAGTAGCAAATAGAGCAATAGTGTGCATAAAACGCCACGTGTAAATAAATTTGCTATTGGATCTTATATATTTTCCTGGGCCTTTACAGCTACGTCACTCCAGCACTATTATATTGCATTAGTGATGCTATGTAACTCTGAGTTACTTGGAAAAATGAATGTAAGAGATCAATATATATATTGTAGTTCTTTTATGGCTGAGAGTTTTTAGAATAGTAGTTTAAAAGTGATTCAGTTGAGGTCCATAAGAACTTGTTTTTACTGTGCACTCCTTTAAAAAAAAATAAATAACCCCCCCTATTTATTAAGTGTGGATGTAAAAGCCAAGACTTTAAGCTCGTGGCTTAAACGATTCTAAAAATGCCCATCTTTCAGTTGAGAAATGTTACTCTGTGTATAAACTCATCTTAAAGGACTCCCAATTTTCATTCACATCGTTGTATATCCCATTTTGTGTGTGTTTTTCTCTGCAGACACTGTACGTGAAACAACAGCAGCACAACAAGCTCTGTTGGTTGCCAAAAACATTGATTTGTTTCCAGCAAATCAAGAGCGCTTTTCTGAAGGGCACATAGATGTGTGGTGGATTGTTCATGATGGCGGGATGCTGATGTTGCTTCCTTTCCTGCTTCGACAGCACAAGGTAATGACAGATGTTCTTGGGAGGAACTCTTGTTAGAAAATGGACAGGTAGTGAATGCTAAAAGCCAGAATTTTATTTCACCTAATGAACGAACAAAGCTTGAGACTTGGTTCTATTTTTTTAGTCAGGTAACTCGGTCATTCTGTTACCCAGTCTGGTCACACAAATATCCCCACTATAAGTAGGGGCCTACCTAAATCACGGGGAAACATCATTTTTTGTGGGTTGATAACCCACAGTTCTAATTCCGTGGTCATTTTGCAGTGGCTCTGCCCTTCAGCGTTGATTGGCAGAGAGGCCCTGGGTGGGGCAGGGGATGAGAGGACCCTGCCATCTTGACTGCTGGCTGCCCTTCACGAAGCCTTGCCCCTCAGTGTTGATTAGTGGAGAGCCTCCCCCTGGGGAGCCAGAATCTTATTTTTGTTAAGTTTTTGTTGTTGCTGTGGAGCTTTTTTTGTTTGTGTTGGTTTTTTTCAGACAACTCTGGATTTCACAGTTTCTGTGAAACCATAAATTAAGTAGGTCCCTAACTTATAGACAGAAGGAAATATCTGCATATTTCACCATCTTTCTAAATAAGCTATTATATGCTTAACTCTCTTAAAGAATGGTGAGCAAGAGGAGCAAATGGAATTTATTCACTGTTATATAACACTATTTCACTTTTTGTGTAGGTTTGGAGAAAATGTAAAATGCGTATTTTCACTGTAGCCCAGATGGATGACAACAGTATTCAAATGAAAAAGGATCTTCAGATGTTTTTGTATCATCTTCGATTGAATGCTGAGGTGGAAGTTGTTGAAATGGTAAGCTGCTATGTAGTTTACATGTTAATTAAAAACTCGGAACTAAACCTGAAAGTCATTCTTACAGCCTTCTTGAAAATACAAGGGAATTTTGCCTTAATACAAAGTTTTAGTCGGGTACCTCAATATTTTGCCTAAAATGTGAAGACGAGCAATATGAAAGTGTCCTAGGGCAGAGTTAACTTATCCATATCCCAGGTCTCATATTTAGCAGTGCTTTATACAGCATAAAAGGTAACTTCTGATCTCGCTCCTCATCCTGATGCTGGGTCCATGTCTATCTCCCTGTGTTATCCCAACAGGATTCTTGTCCTGTTTCCCTATCCCCTTCACTCCCCTGGTCCCACTCTACTCCCTTCTCTGTCTGCCCCTCCAAGATCTGGTCCTTGTCCCCTGTACTAGCCACTCAGACCGCTTCTTCCTCCATACTACCTGGGCTCAGTAGAGGCAGTTGGAGAGAAACTGCCCTTGTCCAATGGTATGTCTGCACAGTGTATGATAGTGATATTAAAGTTGATTTTTAAGAAGCAGTTCTGGTTCCAGAAATAGTCCAGCTGCAATAGCAGAAAGCTGTGCATGAGCGAATTTATGTTGCTACTCTGGGGGCCATTACCAAACAGTACTCTGTGAGTGAGTCTACATGTGCTTTTATGTGCACCTAAACTTTAATGCGCATTAAGGTGATTTAGGTGCATGTCCTATGTGCGCACACTAAAGGCGTGTTAACAGGGCGTGTGGACCTACTTGGGACTAAACTTAGTGCCAATTCAGTTGACGTACAGGGTTTACGCGCCTTAGCACGTCTATGTGTGCATTAAGGCACTTTTAGCTATTTTTGCCTAAATTTCATAGATTCATAGAGTATAAGGCTGGAAGGAACCTTGGAAGATCATTGGGTCCAGCCCCTGCACCAGGCAGGAAAGACAGGTGGGGTCAGGTGATCCCTGCAAGATGACTATCTAGCTTCCTTTTGAAGATTTCCAGGGTAGGCGACTGCATCATCTCTGGAGGGAACTTATTCCACAGTCTGGACATCCTAACTGTGAAGAAGTTTTTCCTAATGTTGAACCTGGAATGTTTTCTAGGGATTTTTTGGCCATTACTCCTGGTTCTTCCCAAAGGCGCCCTGGTGAACAGTTGTTTGCCAAGCCCCGAATGTACTCCCATGACTTAGTGGTAAACTGCTACCAAGCCCCTCTCACCCTTCTTTTTCAGGCTAGAGTCCCAGGTCCCTCAGCTTTTCCTCATATGGCTTGCTGTGCAAGCTTCTAATTATATGGGTGGCCCTTCTCTGGACTCTCTCTCAAGTTGTACCACATCTTTGTTAAAGTGCAACGCCCAGAACTGGATGCAGTACTCCAGTTGGGGTCTCTCACCAGTGCTGAGTGGAGTGGAAGAATCACCTCCTTGGTCTTGCTGGAGATGCATTGATTGATGCATGCCAGAGTATTATTTGCCCTGCTGGCAACAGTGTCACATTGCCAGCTCATATTTATGCAGTGGTCTATTAATACCTTCAGGTCTCTTTCATTTGTAGTGCTGGTCAGGTTGGCGTTGCCAAGCCTGTAAGTGTGCAAGGGATTGTTCATTCCTAGGTGGAGCACTTTACATTTCTTGATGTTGAACTTCTTCTGGTTTTGACTTGCCCAGCTTGCTAGCCTGTTTTAGATCTGCCTGTATATGTAGCCTATCTTCAAGTGTGATCATGCTTCCCCATAACTTGGTGTCATCTGCAAACTTGACCAGTAAGCTCTTCACCCCCTCATCCAAATCATTGATGAAGATGTTGAAAAGTACTGTGGGACACTGCTACCCACTTCTTGCCAAGATGAGACAGATCCGTTCATTAGGATTCTGAGTCCTACCCTGCAGCCAGCTTTGTACCCATTGGCGACTGCATAGAGGGTGCATATGCACCCCCTGAGAGTGGCCGTGCACTCCCTGGAAGCACCAGCTATGAAACTGGAAGCGGTGGTGGAAGTGCACTTCCGATTTTGCCACTGGTGGTTGTGGGCTCGGCAATCAGCTGCTGATGGACACCCCCCCCACACACACACCCTACCCCCCATTGGCGATCTGGTGCTCATGTTCGTACCCACCTAACCATCTTGCAGTTAAGCCCACTATCTTCCAATTTTCTCATGAGAACATCATGGGATACCAGTTCAAAGTCTTTTTGGAAGTCAAGGTATACAATATCCACCCCTTCTCCTTTATCCAGGTGGCGAGTCACCGAATCATAAAGGAGATTAGGTTGGTTAGACGAGAATGATAGAGACAACTTCATATCTGCTTGCCTAAAATTGCCATTTTAAGGTGCATTAAGGGTGTGCACGTATAGACCTACACCACTAATGTACCTTTAAATAGCTAATTGTATGTGGTAGTCTGAAAGGATTCACAAGGCAAATCGCTGCTAAAAGTGAATCTGATTAAAATATAGTTTTTACACAAATTTGAAGCGACCACTTGCACTTATTTTAAAATCAGTAAATGGCTAAAGATAAGTTTCTTCATAACTGCTTCTATTTCACATCACTTTTCAAATCTTTTAACAACAATTCAGAAATTAATTAGGTTCTGTGTCATATATGAAGACAAAACCTGCTGCCAGCACTTGGCAGCCGTCTTGGGAACTTTGATCCCTGGCCAGCCCCTTGCCTGCCCAGGAGCTGTGTGCTTAGTGCAGGGCCAGCTCCCTCCTTGCCCACCCAGCCTCCCTATGCCAGGGCTGCTCCCACTCCAGCCATCCCCTGCTAGTACTGACTGGCTCCCCGCACTCCTCCTGCTGGCCCCAGTAGAGCTACACCTGCCAGCAAGGGCACTGGCTATGGGAGGCCCTGGCCCAACCCCTTCCTCTTGCACTCCCTGCTCCAGCCTGCCTACCCTGCCTCCCACACCCCTTACCCCTTTCCCACTCCCAGCACCACTCTTAGGACATGCATATGGATGAAACAACAACAACAAAAAAGTAACTTTATTGCCCTCACATCCCTCACCCTCATCCCTCCCCACTTAATGAACATTGCCCCTCCACCACCTTCCAGTAATACAAAACCTGCTTACAAGAGGCAAACTATATACATATTGAAAACTATTTACAATATTTTGGGTATTCAGGCCAGAGTGGAGGGCCTCAGGGCAGATGCCCAGCACCTTAGCTCCTAAATGTTCCCCTGCTGGTCCAGGGGCTGCAGTGACTCCAGCAGATGCAGCCTCCTATGAGGCTGGGTCTCCGGCTGCGTGGTGCAGGGGAGGACAGGCCCAGATCCAGGTGGGTGGTGGCAGGTCTAGGGCAGGGGCCAGACCAGGTGATCTGACAGGCAGGAAGTGCCCAAGGACTTCCTCCCAGGGCCAGGTAGGGGCCTGCTGCAGGGTGGCAGGTGGGACCCAGGGGCCCTGCAGGGCCATGGGTTGGAGCTGGGCAGTGGAGGACATGTACATGATTGCCAAGGTCAAGAGAATATCCATGGATTGGTAGTTGGGATACTCCTACTGCTGGAGCTGCTCTACATACTCCTGCTTCAGGCCCTTCATGTGGGACTAGTGGTCCCATGCTTCCACCTGGGTGATGTCCTCCAACTGCCAGGCCTGCTCCCATGCTTCCCACTCCTCCACACTGCCATGAGCTGCTGGAGCAGGAAGGTCCAGTCCCAGGTGTGCCGCTGGCATGGCTGACCTATCTCGACTGCTCCGGCGGTGGATGGCAGCAACCTGGGGCCTGAATCCCCACGGAGGCTGGTAGCCTCTCCCCCATGCCCAGATGAGGCAAGAGACCAAAGCCTTTTGTGAGCTTGCAACATTTCAGAGATGAGATGCTCTGCACCAGGGGCCATGTGCTGCTTGGCCTCAGATCTGGGGTCCAGCCTTGCACCCATGCAAGTACCTGGAGGCATCAGGGTGGGGCAGGAGATCAGGCAGACTGCCCTTGCTGGTGGCACTCAGAGGGATGTGGCCTGGCTCCTGGGGTACCAAACTGTGGGTCAGCTCCTGCATAAAGGGCATGGACTTTTGAGCATGACTGGACTGACAGTTGAAGTCTGTCACAGCCATCCACTGTGCCCACAAGACCTTGACCTTTTACATGGCACACCTGCACCAACCGGGAGTGCCTTCATTCCTACATCCCACCTGATGGCCTTGTAAATGTGGGCGCTTGAGTGCCCAACCTGCATGAACTGCCTCTGCACATCGGCATGTACCCAGAGTGCCACGAGGTCTTGCAACACCTCCTGGACCCAGCTGGGCAGTTTGCACAGGCATGTGCACATGAGCAGGGCTTGGGCTTGATGGGCAGGAGGACAATGACATTCTTGTACCGCGCTGGCTGTCTGGGCACCTGTGTGGCCAGCCCTGGATGGCTGCCAATAGCACCTAGCACAGGAGCACAGCCAGTGACTGGGAGCCATGCAGCAGAGGCACTTCACCACAGGACCTGTAAGCACAGGAGACAGCTCAGGGTGAGTAGCAGCAGGGAGCAAGTGCTGGCCCTGCTGCCAGAGACGGCCTGTGAGGGCTGGGGGGATATCAGGGCTGGGCAAGGGGTGCAACAAGCTGCAGCCCTTTGCATCATTCACCTGTGGCCAAGCAGCAGCTCTGGAGGGGGACAGGCCAGACAGACCGCCCATGGCCTGTCTAGGGAGCACACAGGGCCTGCTGAGCTCCTGCACAGATCAGCAGTCTTGTCCAGGCTGTTGTTATGTGTGCCCCAGGGCACAAAATGACTGCTGGCTTTTATAGCCTGCAGCTAGGGGCTGCCAGAGAGCAGCTCCTCCCTGGGGGAGGAGAGGTGGCTAGCCAAGAGCTCTGGCTTCATGTGCATTTATAACTAATTGTGCCTACATTTGATACCTGCATTTGCAGGTATCAGAGTTAGGCATGATTAACCTAATTTTGCCATTTTTAATGTGCATTAAGGGTGCACAAATGTAGATGCACGCCTGTAGTGCATATTAAATTAGGCTTATGCGCATTAACGCGTCTCATGTAAACGCGCCCTAGATACTTTAATATAAAATACAAAATGAAACAAAAGTGTTGTTCCTTATTTCTTATAATATCTGTTCATTTCTGTATATATTATGATGCAGAATGAAATGTAAAGTAACTTTCTCTCATTTTATTCTGCTAATACCAGTTTGGTTTAATATGGGATGCATTTAAAAAGAAACATGAGACATTGCCTAAATGACTTTTTTGTAAATGAGAACTTTCTCCTCTTTAAATGAATGAATTCTTATTTTTGTAGTTTGAAAATGACATTTCAGCATTCACATATGAGAAAACACTTGTGATGGAACAGCGATCTCAGATGTTAAAACAGATGCAGTTGTCCAAGAATGAAAGGGAAAGGGAGGTAAGTAATTTAACCAGCCTATAAATATTATGGCGACCTTGGAGAAGCAAGTAAAAATAGTTATGGTGGGACATGGTCTCTAAGTATTTTATTTAGCAATTAGAAAGTTTATTTTTAATTGCTTTGCTAGTTTACCTGTGGTATTTTAATTAATGTTATCTTTGCTGTTGGAATGCTAGTATTTTATACACAATAACATGACTACACTAGCCGATATGGGGCTTGAAATGCTCTATTAACAATATGTTTAGATTAGTCATCCATGTCACTTAGTCATTTTCATCCATATGGATCTTCGAGTTTTGAGGACCTTTTTAATATTACTTCAAAAAGTTACACTGCAATCCATTGAGGTAGTGTGCCCCTTAATGAAAGTGGGGGAAGCTGTCTTGTATGGTCTTTGGAGTAAGACTGTGCACATGGGCAGTCACCAAGGAGTTCTTGACATGCAATAAGTTCACATCCTACTTTACCTCCCAATAACTTTTTTCTTTTATTCTAGTGATTCTCAGCCAGAGTGCTGCAAGCACCCTGGAGTGCCTTGAGACACTTTCAAGGGTGACGTGGGGTGTTACGCAATGTTAGCAGTGTTAGGTATGCAAACATGATTTATAAGAATAACCCCAGAGATTTCAAATAGGAATTCATAATGACCTGTGACCTTCTGACCTGTTGTGGTCTTTCTGAGTTCTCTGCAACAGAAGAATTGCTTTAGTATTTTTCTGTAGTCAAAAAGGAATGAAAGCTAACTGCTGGCATTTTCTGAGGGGTGACTTGAGTCTACTGAGGTTGAGAACCACTATTTTACTTGTATCTTAAATTCATTGCTGCTGTTTGGAAGCTCTGCATTTCTGAATAACTGACTGCATGGCAAATGCTCCTTTAAATGACAAGCTTTGGTTACTTCATACTTTTATAGTACTACTGTCATCTTCAGGGCACAGCAACTTTGATAATACTTTCCTTCCAGAATTAAAGGCTAATCTTGCAGATATGTTTTTGTCATTAGTAAGTTTAAAAACATATCTGCAAGATTAGCTTTTTAATTCTGGAAGGAAAGTATTATTTCCTGATATTGCTGTTTTACAACGGGTGCCTCTCTGTAATGTATGCACAGATTAAGTATCCACACAGTGAGTCTGTGGCAGAGACCTCCTCTACACATTTAGTTATCATGTAATTACCTTGAAACCAACCACATGTGCAAAGTAGCTATCATGCCATAAAAAGCTCCAACCAGCTATAAAGTTTGACGTAAAAAATATGTACTAACTTTATAGTTGGCTATTATCAAGCTTTAATTTGCATGTGTAGCAGGGGCTCCCCTGTGGCTGGGAGACCTGTCAACTGACAGGGCCTCTAGCTGCAGGGGTGCATCTAGCCCAGCTAGGGCTAGGAGTCCCGCAACTGCTGGGGACTCTGGGTCTTGGCAGCATCCCACAGCTGCTGATGCTGGGTCCCTGCAGTGTGCCTCCCTGCAAACCCCTGGGGCAGGGATGGCCCCCTGCAGCAATATTCCAGTCCCTGGGGGTGCCTGAACCATTGGAAAAACATGCTATGTGACTTCTTTTTTTAATTTTCTAAAATTGGTTTTGGTTTCTGTGCAAAATGCTTGTCTAATGCCTGGAAAACATTTTTTTGTTTTTGTTTACTGTGGAGCTAGGTTTCACATTTGGATAAATTTCTTGAGTTTGGATTTTTCTTTTCTTATTATGTAACTTTTGATGAAGTATAAAATAGTATTTCTTTTGTTTCTCCTTTAATGTAAAAAGCAGATGTTCAAAGCTCATATGAGAAATATATTGTTACAATGCTAATGTGTTAAATTTTTTTTGGAAAGTAAACAGAACGACAGAGCAGCAATTTTATTTGTTTTCTGGATAGAACAAATTAAAGCTATATAAATATTCTTTTTCCTGAGCAACACAATTAATTATATCCTTTTCTGTATGCTGGTTGCTGTACTTGATGACCTTCATATCCCAGATTCAGAGCATCACTAATGAGTCTCGAGGCTCAATCAGAAGACAAAGGCACTTTAGTCCACAGTCCATTGGTCAAGATAAACAGGTTCTGGTGCCCAATGACAAGCGAGAGGATGAGGTAGTCTGAAATAGTACTGATTTGGATATTACATTCCCATAACAACACTTGAAGTGCTGCCATAGAAAACTTAGTTAGAGGATTGCAAATTTAAATTGAAGGTTTTATTTCTTCAAAACTTTCAGACTTGTTTTTTAATGAAATGGTGCCCATTTCCCTTTCAAACAAACTTGGTGATCAACAAAATTGGTGCAGGCAGGAGTATGATTTTTCCTTTTATCCAGAAATATTCCTTGATAAATTTTAGTATTTGCGATTTATCTAAGAGCACCTATACACATGCACTGAGGCTGCTCCAACATGCTGTAATTACATGTAGCGTGTTGGAGGAAACTCAATTAATTGGATCTGGTGGAGCTTGGCAATTGCCATGCTCAAGCAGACTCCAGTGCCACATGCATCAGTGTCCCCACGTTGAAAAATGGTTAGAGCACCCTGCCACCATTTTTCAGTGTGGGATGTTGATACACGTGACACTCTGGGCACTTTAACTCTAATTAAAGCGCCCCTCACCACCTTCCAGAGCACATGTATAAATACCCTAAGTGTACTATTTCACTTTGTTAGTTACTTTTTATCTTCTTGAATATTCCTGTTAATATGAATGATTGTGAATTGTTAGCATGAAATTAGCCTGAAACACATTTCATTGTCTCATCTACAATTTTCTGAGAAGTAACGTAAATAAATATAGGCTGAAGAAAATATACTATTACTGCTGCATCCTCCTCCTCCCCTTAAGTGAGCCCTGGAACTGAAGGAGTTGGATAAAGGCAACTTATACAATTTCTCCAAAGTATAATCTTCAGCGTTTTAGTAGTCTACCAAGTGACATGCAGAGGATAGTCTTCTTCATACTCTGTAATTAATTGCTGAAGCTTCTCAGAGTCCATTTGATATTTTTAGAAATCTAAAATGAAATGAAATTATGTGCACCCTTTTGTGTGTGTTAAAGGCTTTTTTTTAAAGTTTAAAATCTGTTCTTTATTTTTATCAAAAAAAAAAAACCTACAGTATTTGTATAATCATGATGAAATATCTTAAATCTAGTTTTTACTTTAAATATTACCTTGCCTTGCTACAGAATAGTCTGGAAATGAAATGAGATCATGTATCAATCTCACCAATTCTTTCCTTAGTTGAAATAATATGAAATATTATGAAGAAAAATAAGAAGACATGGCACTTCAAGTGTTTCTTGTGTCCCAAGATGAGTACCCTGGTTTGTAGCACTAGACTGTGTTCCTCTACTTCGGATAGTGTGTGCATTTCTGTGTTTGATTTTTCATAGAAGTAATGTAATAAAACCCAGTATTAGAATGTCACTAACAAAACATTGTCCTTCATTTTTCTCTCAAGTTCCTGGAAGTGTTGTAAATTATAAATTTGATATTTTACCTTGTTGCAAAAAATAGCAAGACATTTCTGTTCTACTTGTTGTTATGTATTTTGTTTGTTTATTTTTACATTTTTATGTTGGCTACCCTAGTCATAGAAAAAAATTGTAAACCATACCATTGTAATCCATAACGTAATTCTTGGTTCCTAAAAATATTGATCAAAGGCAGAAACTGTGGTTTATAGATTGATTATTATGTTATATGTTAGAGTTGAAAATGGACTGTAATATATAGAAAAATGAAATGAAGGGATAACTAGTGCATCTGCAGTCACGCTTTAACTTTAATAAGACTCAAGTTTCCTGTTGAGTACAGAGCCTCCTAAGAACATGGTTATAAGTAGCTCAGGTATTTGAAGGGCATGGATGTGCCATGTTTACACCAATGTAACCCATTCTTATACTAGCACTTAAAAAAAGTGGGCACACAATATAGCCCTCTGCTGGTATACCTATAGAGAGGTAGCTAGCCATATTAGTGTGACAAGGCAGAAGGAAGAATAGAGATGCACCCCATAGAAAGCTGAACTGGAGCTAACAAGTTGAAGTTCAGTTCAGGCATATACATGGTGCTACATCTCAGGAGAAATGATCAAAAACACAAATACAAAAGGGGGACATCTGGCTGCATGACAGGTCTATGAAAAAGAACTTGGGGGTCTTGGTAGATCACAGACTCGATACAAGTCTTCGGTGTGGTGCACAAAAGGTAAACGTGGTTTTGGGATGCATCAATAGAAGCATGAGGTGCAAGACAGGAGGTGATAGTGCCTCTCTACTCGGCACTGGTTAGACCTCATCTGGAATATGGTGCGCTGTTCTGGGCTCTGCATCTTAAAAAAAGGAAGTGCAGAAGTTAGGGAGGGTCCAGAGGTAGGCAACAAAGATAATGAAAAGCTTGGAAAGCAAGTTTATAGAAGGAGAGACTGAAGAACCTAAGCATATTCAGCTTGCAGAAAAGGCACTTATGAGGTGACATGATAGCAGTTTTCAAATACTTGAAGAGCTGCATAAAGACAAGGGAAAGCACCTTTTCTCTCTTGCTATAAAAGGAGGATGCAGATCAATGGCCTGAAGGTGCAGCGAAGTAAGTGTAGCTTGGGTATCCAGAAAAAAGACTTCTTCAGTATTAGAATAATGAGGCAGTGGAATAGACTGCCTAGGTAAGCTGTGGACTCTCCATCACTAGAGGTGTTTAAGAAGAGGTTGGACAGCTACTGGCTGGTATATGAAGGCAAGTGATGGCATATGACATTAATAACGCTGGAGGTTCATTCATCTGCCAGTGTGGTGTCTGGTTCAGTGATTTATGCAGACTGTGTTGATCAGGGTGCACAGCTGGCATTTTTGTGCATTGCAAGGCTTCGTACTTTGGCAAGGATGGAACAGTAACCTATTGGCTCAACATGTACCATTTGAGGCTGTGGGAGTTGTCTATAAGCCAAAAAAGGTTCATCTCCCATGAGACTACCTTGAGATGGTTGCCATTTTGCAGAAGAGGTTAGGTGTTATTAATTATGACCAACTCAAGATAGCCACAGAAGACAAGTCTGTCCTGGCTTATAAATAGGCCCCAACATCAAATAGTTTTTCTCAAGCAACAGGCCACATATCCTCACTGAGGTGCCCAGCTGCATATCAGTTGATAGAAATTTTGTAGACATTTGGGCTGGAAGGGACCTCATAAGATTATTGGGTCCAGCCCCCTGCCCAAGGGGCAGGAAGTCTCAGCTAGTGTCAAAGGATCCCAGCAAGATGGACATCCGCATACTTCTTGAAAGTATCCAGAGTAGGTGCTTGCACTACCTCTTAGGGGAGTCTATTCCAGGCCTTGGGGGCTCAGACAAAAAGAAGTTTTTCCTTATGTCCAGCCTAAACAGGTCAGATCTCAGAGCCAGTTCCCCAGCCATCAAACTGTAGGGTAGTAAAGGCCACAGTTCCCTGGTTTCTCCAAGAGGACATCATGGGACACCAGGTCAAAGGCATTTTTTTTAAAGTCCAAAAATATTATATCAACCTCTTTCCCTTTGTCCAGGTGATGCATCACCTGGTCATAGAAGGAAATGAGATTGGTCGGGCGAGAGCTACCCGCAACAAACCTGGGCTGGCTGTCCCTCAGAACACTGCCTTGTGTTAGCCTGTCGATTTTAACGATTTCTTTGATAATTTTTTCCAAGATCTTTCCAGGCATTGAGGTCAAATTGATTGGCCTGTAGTTTCCCAGATCTTCCTTCCTCCCTTTCTTGAAGATGGGTCATTTTTTTAAATTGAGGAGCCCATCTGTTAAAATGAATGGGCGGTGTGTGTGAGTGCCCTGGTCAGTTCTGATAATTGTAGCTGAATGCTTTATTTTTCAAATTAGTTTTATTTCCTGTTCAAATGCTAAAATCTTCAAAATCAAATATTATTTTCACTTGCAAACAAGGCAGGGTACAGTGTTGTGCTGAGGAAAGTACAGGGGGCATTAGAAGTAGAAGAAGCAAGAAAAAATATTATTTTACATTGTGTCCTAATTAAAAATGAATATAGGGTTGAAGACTAAAATAGTTATGAAATTATGGAGGAGAGGCACAAACTTGTTCTTGAACAACAGCAGCTGTTTATATGTTTATCTTTTATGATGGAGAGAGATGTTCTTTCCCTAGATAATAAAAACAGAAGCCAGTCATAACCTTCTCCATTTTGATATTAACTGCTATAATCATCCGAATGTATCTCATGGTTAGGCTGAAAACTGAACTATCTAATGTCTTACTAAAGTGTTGATAGACCTTACACACATGCTTGTGGAATTTTTAAAGCCCTATAGGAGTCCATCAAAAATAAGACATTGCAATGCTTTGTAGAGACTTACTCACACTAGAATATTATATAACTTGAGAGAGAAGTACATTATTTCTTTTATAACTCAGTTTTACGAAGATTCACAGAGCCGTTTGCAAAATACTTCTTTTTTTATACCTATAGCAGTTCCCATGAAGAATCATCAATTTGAAATGCAGCTGTGTGCAGTAATTTTAACTCCTTTTATTCAGGTTTAGTAAAGTGTACCATTCTATTATTAAAATAACCTTTTTTTTTTTTAAAGACTTCGCTCTGCAAATACAAATGGCTAACTCAGTTGTTGTGAATAGGTTTTTCTGGATCCAGTATTAAAGTTAAGCACCTGTGTGTACACAATTTATGTCTTATACTTTTGTACATCATGGTGCTAATCCTGGTCCAATTCAAATCTATCTAACAGTCCCCATCATTTTAAATGATGCAGTTGCAGGTTTTCTTAGTAAATAAAGTTGTTTTTTTTTCTAAATCTTTTTTTCTTTTTTCCTTTTGGCCAGGCTCAGCTAATCCACGACAGAAATACTGCATCCCATTCGGCAGCAGTTGTCCAAGCCAGTGCTGCTGCAGCTGCACCTGAAAGAGTGCAAATGACCTGGACTAAAGAAAAGCTTGTTTCTGAAAAACATAAAAACAAAGAAACAAATCTGACAGGTTTTAAAGATATCTTCAACCTGAAGCCGTAAGTACAAATGGGACTTTTTCATGAGATCTGAGTTTTATCCTTTTCCTGGAAGCTTTTGCTTCAAACATTAGCTTCTTTGCACTTCACTTAAAGCCTGGCCTTAGCAATACTTCACCATGCAAGAATTGCTGGAACCACTTGTGTGCATAAACGTACTTACATTTAGTGTCTACAAAATCAAGCTCAAAGTGAAGTTTAAAGGAGACTAGCATGTGAAACACTGAATGCCAACTTTGGCAACTGTCACAAATAAATGCAAATATGTTAGTGCTTTACAGGAAATGTGTGCGTCTTTATAGTAAATCGGTTGTAGAGAGAACTGGATTTCAGGTGTCCTGTGGTACATCTTCAGTGTTCTTATTAGAAATAGACATATAAAGCAGTAACTGAATATCTTCTTAACTTCATTTGATTCTATGCTCTAATAAAACACACTTGGGACATAGCCCTGCAGGTAGAAACATGGGCAGATCCTTGCCTGGAAGTATGCACGCAGGTGCAGAGCTACCCCAAATATGCCAACTGTGAGATACGGACCTGAAGAGTTTAAAGGCCTTGTGAGAGCTGCTTTAACATAAGTTAAATATGAAAGTCAAATGACCTTCTGGGCTTTTAACATCTCAGTGATACTTAGGGCACATCCACAAAGGAATTCACTGGCCACATGCACACCGGTAGAAGATTCCACAGCCACAGGTTTGGCTCCTTGGGCAGAGAGCCAATGTGATTTATATCAAATTTACTTGAGAAATGATATTCAGAGGAACTAGCCCAAAGAGGAGTGAATGAGGGGGCTACTTAAGATAGTTAGCAAGAAGTGTACATGCAGGACAGAGGTGTCTGAAAGTCCATCACTCTGGGGCTTAAGCGCTGAACTTGGCACTACTGGGATTCATCCTTTTCTGGAAAGAGGGACTGCTAAAGGGAGGGAGGATTGAGCCAGACTCTGTAGCTGTGTGAGTAAGGAGCCATCTGGGAAAAGGGATTCCAATGCATGGTCCAAAGATTATTTCAGAAATTTATCTAGTAACTTTATAAGACAGTGATGCTTAACCTTCCAGCCCTGCAGGCTAGGTGAGTGGTATGGGGCTGATCCACAGGCTGCATCCCACCTATAGGGTCTGTCTTCAGGCCTGTTGCCATGCCCCAAATCCAGTTGCATGCTAGCGCAGTTTAACACATACAGCCACTTTTATCTAGCCCACGGGGTTCCCCTTGCATCTGAAAATTCGGCATCAAGGTAGCAGCTAGTAATGCTGGCACCATTCCCTTGCCACCAAATTTCCAGATCTGTGGAAAGACCCACAGGTTGGATGACATGGCCTTGCAGGCTGGATATGGCCCCCTGGTACAAGAAATTATTTTAATCCAAGAGGAATAGCTTCAACAAGAGTTGAGAGGTGCCTCCAGCCTTGTGGTCTCTGACGTCTAGGGTAGGTGCTCCTGACCACTAAACTATTGGACAAAAGGTAGACACTGCCATAACCGACCACCTTTGGATGGATTGAGATCAGTGTTGCTGTCAGGGAGGCACCTTCCCTCTGAACAGTCTTGGGCCTGATCTGTCATCTGTCTTGCAGTCCTGTCTGAGGTAGAAGAAAAGTTGAGGCACAACCCTGTGGCTAGCATTCCTATTAGCTAACTGTAGATGTCTCCCTGCAGAGTTGATTAAACAATTTTGGATTGCCCTTAGAAGACACGTAGGTCTCCCCATTCATTTCATAGGAAGCCCAGGTTTACTCTGGATTAATATACCTCAAACTTTATGCCACAGTAAACTTACTCTGAAGTATAATGCAGGTGTATGGCCACCTTCCCCCACCAAGATGGCTGCCCAGAGGTAGGCACTATTACAGCACCTGGCTGTTGGGTGCTGAAGGAAACTTTTTGCATTAAGAAAATGTTTACCCTGGAGTGAACTTTGAATGGCAGTGTGAACATATGATAGATGCACAGGAGCAACTTTTCCCTAGATGAAGGCTACATCTGACTTGCTCAGAAGTAACTGCACAAAACAACAGCATTTTCCTGGAGTAAGTAATGCATGTCATGAATCTGCACCATTTCTTCTCCATTTACTTTGGAGGAGACAAAGCCAGGTGCTTGTCTTCTACATAGGCTCAGAGTAACCAAGCCTTAACTTGCAATATGTGTTATCAGCTAAAATTGCTGTATTACGAATGTCCAGGTAGCATAAGACAATGTATTTAAACATGTTTATTTCTCTTCCTTGTAGAGAATGGGGAAATCTGTAAGTTGAAATTTCATTTAATTTAGGCAATTTAGATTGTTGCTGGTTCTTGTTTAATATTATTGCATGTCTCCTTGAAATGCTTTTATGCTTCCCATTATTTACAGTTTGCATATTGCTCATATATCATTTGGCATGTGAATGTCATATTAGGCTAGTATTTCCTGTTCTGTTCTACCTCCTAAATCTCATCAGTTTTTCCGTTTTAGTAATTCATAGTTGAGTTTCACTATAGCTGATAGGAAAATGCAGAATTGTTATCAGTATTTTGAGAGGTTTTCTTGTTTGTGGGGAAAAAAAAATCGCCTTCAGAACCATCTTAAATGTATTGATTATTGAGAATATGTCTCATGATTTAACTTAGGCTCATACTAGCTGGTAAATCTGAGACTAAGGCTTCTTGAAACGAGACAAGTTTTTTTTTTTTTCAGTTTTTTTTCCCTGTCCTCTCTTCCCCTACCCCCAAAATACTCCACCTTCTCACCATCCATTTGAGCTGTAGTACTTTTGCTAAAATGTTACCCAAAAAAGGGACCCATCATTTCAGCTGTGGCAGAAGGAAGGAAAAATGAATCTAGCATCTCTAATTTTTGTCAGTCAGTTTGAAAGTACCTTGAGGGGAATTTATCTACTCTCATGGAGGCAGTTGAACATCTCCATGTCTCTTATTCCTTTCCATTTTTCTGTTTTTTTTCTGCACTGGCAGACATTTCTCCCCAGAGCACTTAACTGTGCCTGGATACCCAGAAACAGCAAACATGGTTATACTATGGAACTGAAGCTTCGCACAGCCCTTTAATTTGATTTGGTGGAGATTTGGCCTGATTTTGGTGGCCAAATATCTGAATCCAAATCAAATCAGAGGACCCTTTAATCTCTCCAAATTGAATTGGAACCATCGGAATCAATTTGGAGAGATTTGGAAAGATTCAGCAATTTGGACAGACGCAGCTTTTAATGGTTTTTTTTTGGTTTGTTTTTTTTTCTTTTCTACCTACCTCTAGGTACCAGTGTGGCTCATGAATGCTACGATGCTGAGGCACATGGAGTGTCCCACAGAAGCGCAGGGGGTCCCCAGCACGCTCAGCAACAGACCCAGAAGTGGACCAGAAATACTTCCGGGTCCGCCAGGGAGCATGCAGGGGGATCCCCCCAACACCACCCAGCTTGGTGACTGGTGCCTCCTGGTTCTGGGGGGGGGCACCTGGGGTACCCCCAGCTGATCGCTGAGTCGAGTGGGACAGGGGGGCCCTGCATGCTCCCCAGCAGACCTGGAAGTAGGCCAGAAGTAATTTCAGTCTGCTTCCGAGTTTGCTGCCAAGCACATGGAGGCCCCCCCCCCCCCCCCCCC